TCTTCTTAACATACAACAACATTTTTTCCTCTGAAGTCTTTGATATTAATAAGGTCATTTCCGTATTTCCCCCATCGGAGTACTAACGAAGCCTGCCCCTGCTTGGTTCCCCAGGCCAGATGGGTCACACAAATTCAAGGCGGCATGGAAATCTGCTTCATCTTTCTGTGGTGAGTGTTGTCATGGAAGATCTCTGCTCTTGAATATACAATGATACACACATATCAAATATATCTTATTGCTTTTACCTTCCCCATTTCACGTACAAAAATCCTCCTATAATATGAACTCATTTCTCCTCCCGACCTTTTGGCTTTTATTGTTATACTTCTTACATACACAGGCTTTAAACCACACGGTACAACATAAGTTTTTGGTGTAAGTACCAATTATCTTTGAAAAAAGATGTAAACCATTGCTTTAAATCCGTGGTTTCCACCCTTGTTCTTCTGAGCAGAGCTGCAGTCCATCTGGAATCGTTTCTGTCTGTCTGGGGGACTTCAACAGTTTCCTACAGTGCAGTTCTGCTGCTGGTAGATTCTTCCAACTTCTGCACGTCTGAAAAGGCCTTCATTACATTTTTATTCTTAAAGACTTCTTTTTACATTTTTATTTGTTTTGCGTGTGTGTGTGTGTGTGTGTGTGTGTGTGTGTGTGTGTGTGTGTGTGTGCAGCCAACATGTGCATACTCACTGGGGTGTGTGTGTGTGTGTCTGTGTGTGCAGCCAACATGTGCATACTCACTGGTGTGTGTGTGTGTGTGTGTGTGTGTGTGTGTGTGTGTAGGTCAGAAGACAGCTTGTCGAAGTCCTCTGTCCCTCTACCATGTGGGTCCTGGGGAGTGAGCTCAGGTTGTCGAGCTTGGCAGCAAGCTCCCTTACCCAGAGAGCCATCCCCTGGCCCACATGATATTTTACTGGATTTAGATTTACAGTTCATTACTGGGTATGCTGGCTTGCAGCTGGTTAAGAGATAGGAGGCCCAGACAAGGTTTGAGTTCAAAACAGGCTGGAGCGATCTTAGGGTGTGTTTTATTTTCCTCCTCTCAGCAAGTCTTTTCCATTGCTGGCAAATTCTAGAACGCTACGGTTTCTTTATTCTTCTGCCTTTCTTCCCATTATATCCTCTATTCTTTTAAAAAACATAGTATTTTTTATTTATGTGTATGTTAGTATGCTTATCTATATAAGCACTGTATCAGTGCAGTGTCAGTGGAGGACAACAGAGGGCATCAGATCCCCAGAACTGGAGTTCCAGATGGTTGTGAACTGCCTTGTGGGTGCTGGGAACTGAACCCCTGTCCGAATCCCTGTCTGAACCCTTAGTGCTCTTGACCATTGAGCTATCTCTACAGCCTCCTCCTTCCCTCTTCTCTCCTCACCTTCCTTCCCTTCCCTGCTCCCTCACCTGACAGGAAAATAAACACAGTCACCATTGCTCCACTTTAATTTAAAGCAAAAAAAAATCTTGTTTCTTGTCAAATTCTTTCTTATTTTTTGCACAGACTACAGCAAAGCCAGGCTCCAAGGAAAAGTTTCCTCAGAAATTCCATTTCAGATGGAGGACTAGGGTTCCCCCTTGCCCCCCAACCCCCAGACAGGGTTTCTCTGTGTAGCTCTGACTGCCCTGGAACTCTCTCTGTAGACCAGGCTGGCCTCAAACTCAGAGAGCCCCCTGCCTCTGCCTCCTGAGTGCTGGGATTAAAGGTGTGCATCACCACTGCCCAGCAAGTGTAATTTTTAAAAAAAGTTAACAATAAATTCTTACATTTCTCATTCGAATGAAAGCTAAAACTTACTTGTGGATTTGCATGGAGCTAGACTTACTTTGGGCGTGGGTAACATGCTCTATAGAAATGTTTTCAGGGCTGGAGAGATGGCTCAGCTGTTAAAACTAGGCTCACAAAAAGACTAGACATGTTTTTTTCTGATATTTCTTGTGGACCTGACTTCAGTTGTTGTTGCTGTCTTTCTTTTTTTTGTTGTTGTTGTTTTTTTGTTTTGTTTTGTTTTGTTTTTTTGAGACAGGGTTTCTCTGTATTGTTTTGGAGGCTGTCCTGGAACTCGCTCTTCTGGACCAGGCTGGCCTCGAACTCACAGAGATCCGCCTGCCTCTGCCTCTGCCTCTGCCTCCCGAGTCTTGTCTTTTCTTTTCTTTTTGAGATAGTGTTCTCTGGTAGCCCAAATTGGCCTCAAACTTGGCATATGGCTGAAGATGACCTTGCATTTCTAATCTCGCTGCCTCTATTTCCAGAGTGCTGGAACCACAGGTGTGACCCATCCAACCGTGCACCTGGTTTCCGAGGTCCAGGGGGAGCTCAGGGCTTGGTGCGTGCTCGTGCCCTAGTTGGCTTCCTGTTGCTGTGGCAAAACACGGAAGAAAGTCAACTCCGGGAGAAAGGGTTCACTTCAGCCTTCAGCTCCCGGGTCGCAGCCTGTCACTGAGGGAAGTCAGGACAGGAGCCACGGAGGGGCACTGCCCGCTGACTTGCCGTTCCTCACACAGCTTAGGTCAGGGACTGGGGAGATGCTTAGTGGCTGAGAATGATGACTGCTCTCGGAGAGGCTTTTCTGGCAACTCACAAATCCCCTTTAACTGTAGCTCTGGGAGACTGGTGGCCCTCGCCTGGCCTCTGCAGGTACTCTCACGGTGTGCAGACACACACTCAGGCAAAACACCTAAGCAGGGGACCCCAAGTTCAGATCTCCAGCACCTGCATGAGACAGGTGTGGTGGTGAGCACCTGTAACCTCGGTACTGGTGGGGTGGGGCAGCAAGGATACGGGCCGATCCCCCCAGTCACTGGCCAGCCCTCTCACAGTCTCCAGGTTTCTTTAGTGAGTTCTCCGGAAACAGTCTCTTCTCTCTCTCCAAGGAAGGCCAGCACTGGCTTGTGAGCCTCGGAGAGTCAGGCTTCTTCTCCATGTAAGGCCTCGGACTGCACGACTTCCTCCTTCATGGTGTGGCATCCTGGGGCCTTCCTCGAGCTCCCTGAGCCCTGTCTGGTGGCCCGCTTTGCACAACCTCCAGAGATCCGTGAGGAACATGACTCTGTGACACGGGGGTTGCTCTGGAAGGGGCCAGCGGAAGGCGCCTCGGGTGAGAGAGTCCAGTGTTCACTTAGGAGCCAGGGGGGCAGTTACAGGGCAGCAACGGCGAAGGGGAAGGGGAAGGGGAAGGGGAAGGAGAGGGAAAGGTTTCCCTTTCTGGTCAGCAGTTGGCGGTGACAGGGAGAAAAGTTAAAGAATGCTAGGCGGTGATAAGCATCTCTCACAGTCGGCCATTACTTGGGGTCAATAGGGCAGGGAGGGAAGAACCTAGAAAATTAAGGTACTTTTAGTGCCGGAAACCAAACTACTTCAGTTTTGGGGCCTGTCACTGTTTAACCAAAATGGAGACACTTTCCAAAACGGCTAGCAACCTGCCAAGCCCAGTTTGAGCCGTGCTCCCCGTCAGGAAGTCACCTCCTCCTCATACAGCTGTCATCCCCAAGTGACCCACGCCGCCTCACCAGGTCGTGACCGCCCTGGAGGTGAGGCCTGCAGATGCAGTCACAACCAACCACTTCCTGCTGGACGCTTCCCATGTGCCCGGGTCTCTCCTAAGACCCCTGTGAGAGCCGTGCCGGGGAGACGCAGACAGAGATCCAGGCACCACAGAAACTTGTGCACCCATGTAAGCCCAGCACCGAAGGCAGGCGGATCAGAAGGTTCAAGCCCACCCTCAGCTGCGTAGCCAGTTCAGAGCCATCGGGGCTATAAGAGACCCCCTGGTCTTAAAAAAAATTGGCAATGATCTCAAAAATGGCCAGAGGGTGGACTTTCACAGAACTCTTTAAAAAACGGTTGCCTTTACCCCTTGTCCATTCTAAAGGGCACTGTAATATTGTCATTATGCCAGTTTTCAGACCAGAGGCCCGGAGGACTAGGTCACAGAAGAACTAGCAAAGCCAGATTCAAGCTCGGGCAGGGCTGGTTCCTGGGCCCCAGCCCTCAGCCGTGATGCTCAGTAGCCCTCCGGCTAGCAAGTGCTCTGTCACCAGCGCCAGCGCCATGCCACCTGTCCTGGCCGAATAAAAACCCCTGACAAGTGGCCGGTGAGGAGATGCCTCCCACAGAGCTCGTCCTGTGGCCGGCTAGTGGCTGATGTGTGGTCCACGAAGAAAACCCAGGTAGGAACTGGTGTCCACACCCCTCCACGTCCCTCCTTTGCAGGGTAAGCAGAGGGCGAGCTGGGGATTCTCTACCTAACTTACCTTCCCAGAATCTGGGTCGTAGAGGGGGTGGGGGAGCAGAAGGTCTCCCAGCTCACTAGTTCCTGTACCCACACCTCCTAAGGCTCAGCCGACCGGATGTCCCTGGAGCTGCCGGAATCTGGCCCGATTTGAGGAGATTAAAAAAAAATCAATCTGACCCTTAATTCCCCCAAATTAATTTATGGGCTTGCCTCTTGGGTGCTGAAACACGTCTGGCCACCCAAAATCTGGTAATTATTTATGTTTAAACACGGCATCCCTCCTTGGTGGATTGTAACTGGTTGGGACAGCACTGGAGACTGTTGGAAAACCTTCCTCGTGGCTCCCGCATAGCGTTAACCAAACCAAAACACGTAGTCTCCTTCAGCAGGCAAACTTACACCCAACATCACTAACATTTGGAGGGCTCAGTGGGTGTGAAGGAAACACCCCAACCATCTTGGCCGCACCCACTTGGGTGGGTGGGGGAGACCCCCATGGGATCCACGTCTGCTGAGTTTAACACCCTGCTGAGGAATAGCCAGGGTTAGGAATTTTCTGCTGTTTGGAAAGGAGGAGGGGTGCCTGGCACAGGGGAAGGCTTTGCTTTTTTTATTCTTGTTGCTGATTCCCTCCAGGAGGTTGAGCTGTGCCACAAGCCCGGAGGATTAGGGGCCAGAGACTGAGCTTCCAGAAGGCCGCTGGGGGGCGGGAGGGGCGGGGGTGGGAATCTGCACCTTTAAATAACATTAATTTCTGAAAGACCCAAGTTGTTTCCTTAAATCGCTGCCCAGAACCTCTGGCTTTCATCTGTTTTTATGGTACCTTTCCAGGTTGTAGGCAGGAGCTGCCGCAGGGTAACACCCAGCATCAGGGAGGTTCTCCAGGCCCAGTCCAGCCCGGGAGGAATCATTTCCTGCAGGAGGGAAAGAAGAAACTTCTAAGAATCAAGGTATTTTAGAAAAATAAAAAATAAAAACAGCCCCCCTTCCCACACCTCCAGGAGTACCCTTGGAGAACAAGCCACAAAGCCCCAACACAGCTGGGACCTCATTTCCTTGGTAGCTGGGGGGCAAGCCACTTAACCTCAGTTTCCCCATCCATAAAATGGGGTTAATCATGCCCCCCCCTGCTTCAGGAGCCCTGGTAGGTTTTAATTGGGTAATGGCTGTGGTGCCCTTTGATGTAGTAAGTTTTATTAACTTGCGAGGGATCCCCTGGGGCCAGAAAAAGCAGTTAAACCAGAGAGAGACAGAGAAAGAGGGCTTGAAGAGCAAGCCAGGCTCCTGCGCTGAGCGGTTCCAGCACTGATTCCAGACGTGCAGGGTGCCCCCACCCGCAGCAGGCGAGCTGCACGGAGCTGGGGCTGTTCTTTATGAAGTCGGCCCGCTGTCTCAGAAGCCACTGGCTGTTCAGGTGTGGGGGGGGGGAGACCAACCCCTGGCCTTGCTCTCAAGCCCCCACCCTCCCTTGAGGTTCTCGGCCGAGAGCAAGGTCCTTGGAATCGAATTTAGGAAGGTTTCAGCCTCGTTCCGGGAAAAATTAAACAGGGAGACCTCAAGAGCTGTCATCCAGCCCAGGCTCACGGCTGGGGAAGATCGTGGGGACAGCATCCACAGTATTTCTGAGGTCCGTCCTCCTGGTCCCTCAGTTTCCGCTCCCTAACAAAATGATGCTAAACTCAATTTTTTGTTTGTTTTTGTTCAGGAGACAGGGTTTCTCTGTGTAGCCCTGGCTGTCCTGGAACTCTCTCTGTAGACCAGGCTGGTCTCGAACTCACAGAGATCCAACTGCCTCTGCCTCCCGAGTGCTGGGATTAAAGGTGCGGGCTGCCACACCAGGCTCAGCCCTCCCCACCCCTTTTTTAAATTCACTGTTCTTCTCGATGCTGAGGGTGGACCCCAAGACCTCGTGTGTGCTGCGCAAGCCACCTCCCATGAGCCTCCCCGCAGGGCCTTCCCTGCTTTGATTCCTTCCGTGCGGAGGGCCCATGAATCAGCTAAGATCACACTGCCAGCTACCCTGGCACAGCCCAGCAGGGTGAATACCTTGTCCCGCTATGCCAAGGACGGTCTCAGGGACTCTAGTGCCACAGTCCACGCTACGCTGCCAATCCCAGACGAACTGCAAGGGTTCTATTGCTCTTCAGGTGCTCGGGTTGGCTGGAAAAGACTATTTAAAATTCCTAAGTAGGGTCTGGCGGTGGTGGTGCACAGCTTTGATCCCAGCACTCAGAAGGCAAAGGCAGGCGGGTCTCTCTGAGTGCGAGGCCAGCCTGGTGTAGAGTTCCAGGGCAGCCAAGGCTGTTACAGGGAAACCGTGTCGTCTCAGAAAACCAAAAACAAAACAAAAAGACGCTGTGGGGCTGGGGGTGTGGCTCCGGAGGTAGCATGCTTGCCTAGCTGCTTTTCTGTCTCTGTGCTTATGTATTTATTTTTTATTTTTTGGCAGACAGGGTCTCTACGTAACCCTGACTGTCCCGAAACTCAGTATGTAGAAGCAGGCTGGCCTCGAACTCACAGATCCACTTGCATCTGCTGGGATTGAAGGCATGTGCCACCACCCCCGCTTTATCTAGGTATTTTAAGGCAAAGAAAACCCCTGCCGCTGGAAGAAATGAGGTCATGTTAACTACAAAAATATTTCGTCTACACACTGCCCAGATTCCCAACCAAACCATTGCTTGGACGGACGGCGCCTTGCAGACAGAATTGATCACCTTGTCGGGGGTTGGTGTTGTGTGTACATGGGGGCAGTTTTTAGGGGCCGATGTCTTTCAAACCACCCTTGACAGACTCAGGTAATGAAGGCAGTCTTCTCGAGATAGATCTAACCCTGACTCTTATAGCACTGGGAGGGGAAAAGGCAATTTACATGGAGAAGAAATGCAAAACAATGATCAAATCAAAGCCACCCTCAGCAGCCTCTGCCCCCCCTTGCCCCATCTGAGGGCAAGCCTGCTCCAGTTCCGCTGAGCTGCACTGCCTGCTCCAGTGGGCCACAACCGACACTCTATAAATCGTCTCTGCCCCTGTGCGGGAGTTTCGGGCTGTATGTATTTTGGGGCCCGGCATTAATTCCCTCATCCTTGGCTGGTGACATGAAGATTTGTAACTGATGGTTTTAATGTGTTTCCTTCAGGTTACTATTAAAAACATGCTGTTTATCTGAACTTGCAAAAGTTTCCATTTAGAGGGAGGGATCGAGGGAGGGATGGATGGGGGAGAGAGGGAGGGAGGGAGGGAGGGAGCATGAGAATGTATCACAGGAACCATTTCCCAGCATCCAATGGGCTGGGGAGCTAAGTGGTCAGGGGCCACTCTTCTTCCCACAGTCTGGTCTTTCTCTCTCTCCACCTTAGTCTTCCTGGTATGAAATGAGGATAAATATTTGTCTACAAGATGAGGCAGTTGTAAGGATTAATTGGCTGGTGCTTTGGGAAGCCTTTGAAGATGAAAGACGCTCTCTGCAGATGCTAAGTAAACTCAGAAGGTGTCTGGCTTTAATGAGCCAGGTGAAGCCAGAAAGGACGGCTGGAGATTAACTGTGCCTACCCCAGCGCCTGCCTGCATGGGCCCAACTGAGATCTGGGCGGAGCTCCCCCCGGCTCCATCCATCCTGGCTCTTCCCCCCCCCCCTTCCTGGCACACCGTCTGGTAGTAATGTACATGCACAGGGAACCAAATTGGAATTGAACCCAGACACCCAGACCTCCTCAGGACATTCCTGTCACCTATGCTTGTAGCACAGGGCCTGGGCAGGCTACAGTTCCCTGTTTCCTAGCAGGGTGTGTCACAGCCACCCAGGGTCAGGGAGGTCCTGCTGAATTAGCATCACAAGCACAACTCACAGCAATTGTGCCCCTAGCAGGCCCTAGGCTCTAAGTATTTTCTTTGTGTGTTTTGCATGCCTGAATATGGGTTTATGTGTATATGCGCATGTGTGTATGTGTAGGTCAGAGGTTGACACTGGGTGCCTCTCTCCAATTAAAAAATGGATTTATTTTGATTTTGTGTGTATAAATGTTTGCCTGTGTATATGTGTCTCACCTCCATGCCTGGTGCTGGCAGAGGCCAGAAGAGGACATCAGATCTCCTGCAACTGGAATTACAGACAGTGGTCTGTCTGTCTCTGTCTCTCTCTCTCTCTGTCTGTCTCTCTCTGTCTCTGTCTGTCTCTGTCTCTGTCTCTGTCTCTCTCTTCTGTCTCTCTGTCTCTCTCTGTCTGTCTCTCTCTGTCTCTGTCTGTCTCTGTCTCTCCTGTCTCTCTGTCTCTCTCTGTCTGTCTTTCTGTCTCTCTCTCTCTTCTCTCCATGCCCCATGTGGGTGCTGGGACCTGAACCTGGGTCCTCTCCAAGAGCAGCCAGTGCTGTCTGTCCCTGAGGTCCAGCCTCCATGTAACTTTTTGAGACAGAGTCTCTCAATGAACTTGGAGTTCACATAGTCAGCAAGATTAACTGAATATTAGCTGGACCTGAGTTCCCAGGCGCCCCGGTCTTCACCTCCCTGGTGGAATTACAGGCACACTCGCCTCTTGGCACCTTTGCCGGGGATCTGAACTCGGGCCTCTGGGCTTGCACAGCAAGCTCTTACCCACTGAGGCTACCTTCCGGGTCCCAGCTTTCTCCCCACTTCTGAGGTCCCTGCCTCTCACACCAGGCCCACGGGGAAGGACTCCAGGTCACACAGCTGAGGCTCCCATTGCCTGATATAGATGACCAAAGGCCCCGTGGCTGAGGGAGGTGCACATGGCGGCCCTGGCCCTTCCTTCACCACACAGGAAGCCAGAGCGTTCAAACACCCAGCCGTGGAGGTGGGACACAGGAGGCAGAGGGGCAGGAACAAAACAGACACGGGCCGCGGAAGGATGCCAGGTCTGCATGTACCACACCAAGGACAGGTTTGATAGGATGTAAGGCGTTGAGTCTGGCCGGCTGGAGGCAACCACATTAGGGATACAGGGCACTTTGTTAGATGTGTCTCATGCCAAACCCCATGCTCATAAAAGGCAGTCTGAGAGGAGAGGCTGTAACACAGAACCCTGGGGTGCTGACACGGCTTAGGGTAGCCTGCACTGTTGGAATCACAGGCAGTCAGCAGCCCAGAGTCTCGAATGAATGAACTGTTAAGACTCTGTCTGACCGAAGCAGCTTTAGCTTTGAGGTCCCACAAGGAAGCCAGAGAAGAAGGAAGGACGCAGAACAATTTCAAACAGGCATGATGGCGCGTGCCTGCCGTCAGGAAGTGAGAGTCTGAGGCAGGAGAACAAGGGGTTCAGCACAGCAGGTCCCATGTTGTCAGGCGGTGGTGGCGCACGCCTTCCATCCCAGCACTCGGGAGGCAGAGGCAGGCGGATCTCTGTGAGTTCGAAGCCAGCCTGGTCTACAAGAGCGAGTTCCAGGACAGCCTCCAAAGCCACAGAGAAACTCTGTCGCGAACCGTGCCCCCCCCCCCAAAAAGGGAGACTCCATCTTAAACAAATGGAAAGGAAAAAAAAAAGTCATCAAATTTGGACCTCCGCCCCTCAACACCATGACATCACACCAGCTAAATGCGGGCTGGGGAAGCCCCTGGTCTGGACAGAAATATCTTTAGCAACTGCTGTCTATGGACGGAAAGGGAAATGTTATTTTGTTTAAATACCATGTTGTTTTGAGAAGTCTAATGTGAAAGTCCCTATTTAGAGCTTGTAAGACTCTGCCCTGAAAGTGGTCGAAGTTTCCACACGCACATGTTGACTAAGGCCTCGAAAAGCAAACTTCCTGGTAACTACTGACTCAAATCACCTGGGAGTGAAAGCTTGGCCTCACAATCCTAGAGCTGTGCACAGGGGACCTCCGCCAAGAAAAATCCCAGGACTGCATTTATCAAAGGACAAAGAGGCCCCAGGCCCGAGCGAGCTGAGCCCTCCGGAAGGGAACCTGGGCTTCGGAAGGAAACTTGGGCGCAGCTTCTCTGGGCCCTTCCTGGGTTAGGAAAACTGACGAGAGGAGACAGGCCACGTGGCGCCTGCTCTCATTCAGTACCCGCTAAACGCCACCCACCGAGTCTTCAGTTGAGCCAGGAGAAGCACACGCTTGTGGCTAACATGTGGCCATGTTCCCATGGCAGAAGCAGGGTCTGTGAGTCTTAGCAGGACACTCTTCTTCCCAGCTTACCTCAGGGTCAGGTTTTGGTTGCTGACCTGGGGTGATAAGTAATAGCTTCGGGGCTGGGGAGATAGCTCCATGGATGGACCTAGGTGCTCAAGATTGAGAACTAAATTAGAATCCCTGGTACACACACATGTATAGACACATGTATACACACATGTACACACACATGTACACACACACACAACACATCGGTGCAGTGCTGTGGGCCTGTAACTCCTGCATTCAGAGGTCCATGGGCCTGCCAGCCTAGGCAGTCAATGAGCTCCAGGTTCAGTCAGAGACCCTGCCTCACAAAGTGGTATGAGGAGTGACTGTTATATAAATCCTTCCCGAGGGAGGCATACACAACCCCCTCCCGGGTCCTAAGACAAACGTAGGTGTGAGTTCACCCAAGTCCACCCTGAGGAACCATCGAGTTGATTAGAGTGACTTACATGGGCGACCTTAACGTAGCCCCAGAAGGTCTGTATCTCTCCTTACAGTAGTTACAGTACAGCATGGAGGACAACGACTCCCCCACGGCCTCCTCTCCCCTCCTCACCTATGTCCTCCAGCCCCTTTCTGAGACCCCGAGACCACGTGCAGTAGGGCAATTCCGCTTGCAGCTGGCTAGCTGCTCAGGCTGTCCATGGCCTCCCTGCTCCCTCCTCCCAAGGAGGACTGTCAAGAATCCAGAAGCCTAGCCGCGATGGCCTTTGACCCTGACAGAGTCCTGAAGACAGGGTCAGTGTGGCTCAGAGGATAATGGAGCCCAGAAGCTTCCCAGTGTCAAGCTCTGGCCTACACGCCCACACTCACAGGCCAGTGTATCCCATCCATCCTCCCATAAAGAGAGCTTCCCCACCATCCTTCACAGCGCAGCCGTGCCAGTCACAGAGGACGAGAATGTAGATGACGTGAATGTAGATGACCTGCCAGTTACAGAGGACGTGTCAGTCACAGAGGACGTGTGAGTCATAGATGACGTGAATGTAGATGACCTGTCAGTTACAGATGCCGTGTCAGTCACAGAGGACGT